GTTCCGCGAGTCTGCCGCGACAGTGTCGGACTACGGCTACTCGGCGAGCTTGGCTTGCAGCACAGTGCCGACTCACGTAGGGCCTGCGCTTGCGATTCGGACGCAAGCAACAGTCAAAACAGTTGTCATTGTTTCCTGAGCGCGCGTCGAGCAGAACCATTCCCCAATATTGGCCTGTCCGTACTCGAGAAGATTCTCAGTTCGTCGAAGTTTGTCGTGGCAGCCTTTCTAGCCGTCGGTATTGTTTGCTATGGGGGCTGGTTGCGAAAAAGGAAGTTTCTAGCTAGTGCCCAGAACCAGTAGCTGGGGAGAGCGCAGGGCCGCTTACCTTTCAATCCAGTCAGAACAACTGTGTAACTCTGCTTACAAGGCAAGTGGCGTATGATCCCAGGCTCTGGGCCCACGCCCCCCCTCCCCACCCCAGATGAGGTGGCTCTCAGGGTCCCTCGGCCCCCCCCCCCCTCCAGATGGGATGGGGGGGACGACGACGATGACGACGACGACGAACACCGTCCGCTCCGGCTCCCTGAAGCACCGCAACACCGCGCCACACCCAGAGGGAGGCGACGACGGGGAACACGCCGTCGACGACGATGCTGCTTCTCCTCTTCCCTCCGTCCTCCTCATCCCTCCCTCCTCGTTCCTTGGCCCTCTCTTCTCTATCTTGCTCCCTTCTCTCACTCCCTCGCACGCCCACAGGGGAAGACCTCACCACGCCATGCCCAATGGGGAGGTGGAGGGGGGCATCGCGCGGGGGATGCGGGGGGGTGCGATAGCATCAGCATAAGGGAGGGGGGAGACCCTGGGTCATGTGTATATATGTGTGTATATATATATACATCTCTCTCTCTCTCTCGGAGTAGGCTGGGGGGGGGGGCCGGGCCGGTGCCACCCTCCCCCATGGGCGCCCCCAGGGACCTTCGCGGGGGGGGGGGCCGAGCCAGTGCCACCCTCCCCCATGGGCGCCCCCCGGGACCTTTGCAGGGGTCACAGACCCCCCGGGACTGCCCCGGGCCGTTTCCAAAATTGCCCACGACAGGCCACGCGGGCCGTACAGATGGTCCAGAAAGCCTCAAGAGGCCCCGAAGACGCCCAAGATGGCCCCAAGACAGCCCAAGAAGCCCCAGGGCCGCCCCAAGAGGCTTCAAAGAAGCGTCCCAAGAGAGCCCCGGGAGGCCAACATCGATGATTTTCCATTGTGTTTTCCTATGTTTTTGGTTTTGATCGCCTTTTCACTTTTCCGACGCTCCAACAAGGCCCAACAGGTCCTCAAGAGCGCCCCAAGACTACCCGGGACGGCCTGAAGACGGCCCTGGACAGCCCCAAGACAGCCCAAGAGGCGCCCCAGAGGGCCCGAGAGAGCCCAAGAGGGCCCTGAGGAGGCTTCCAGAGGGTCCCACGAGGGGGAACAAAAAGTCAAAGTTTTATTCCCCGTCTTGAAAGTTTCCCAGGAGGCCCCGAGAGAGCCCCAAGACGCGCCAAGGAGGCCCCGAAGAGGCCCCGAGGATGCCCCCAAGAGGCCCCCCAAAGACCCCAAGAGGCCCCAACACGAGCGCCGCGCTACGCAGACGCCGTCGCACAAACCTCTCTGTGTATGTGTGTGTATACACACATATATATATATATAGATGTATTCTCTGACCGTCGCCGTATTAATCCAAGGGGGCCCAAGAGGCTTGCAGGGTTCTCAGCGGAAGCAGTTTTGACCTCTCTTGGGGGGCTGTTTTGGCGTCTCTTGAAATATTTGTTGTGCCTCTTGGGAAACTGGGGCCTGTTGGAGGCCTCTGTGGAGGTCCTTGGTGCCTCTCGGTGGCCGTTTTGGGGCCGTCTTGGGCACCACACATAGATTTCCTTTCTTAAAGAAGAATAGACTCTACCCCCCCTCGGAGTTAACGGGTCACCTTTTCGTTTTGCAATGTACATATAATTCTGTCCCATCGTCCTTCCTACTGGTGAATACATACTATCCCAGCCAAACCGTTATCGCCCCCCCCCCGCCATCCTCTGCAACAAATACTATGCGCGCGCTCTCGTTTATCAAAAATCACAAGTTTGCAAGAACCCCGGAAGGATTTCGAAATCGAGTGTCCAAAACAGACATGCAACAACATAGGGTTTTGCAACATTGATTTGCTAAAACACGTACGCGCGCGCTCTTGCGAAATCTGAAGAAAGCCATCAGCTTTTCAATATGTTCAAGACATGCTACCAAACGGGCTTCGCTCGCGCGCATGTCGAAATCGTTCGAATGCCCTTGCGCGCGTGCCGTCGCGAGAATCCGCTGCAAAACATGAGACGAAGTGCTCACGCGCGCGTCGTCGCGCGCGCATGCCGAAATCCTTCAAAAACCGTCGGTTTCGGAAGGATTTCAAAATCGAGTGTCCAAAATCACGTACAGAAACACAGGGTTTCGCAACACGGATGTTCAACAAAAGCGTGCGCGCGCGCGCTCTTGTGTCGTCGTCGTCGTCGCCGTCCTCCCTCCTCCCCTGTCGTCGTCGTCGTCGCAGTCGTTGTCCTCTGTCTTTCCTCGTCGTCGTCGTCGTCGTCGTCGTCGTCTTGGCGTCGTCGTCGTTTCCGTCGTGGTTGTCGCCGTGGTCGTCCTTCTCCCTCGTCGTCTTCGTCGGCGTTTCGTCGTTGTTCCTCCTATTGTGTCGCCGTCGTCGTCGTCTTCTTCCCTCCTCCCTCGTCGTTGTCGTCGTCGGCGTCGCCGTCATCCCTCCTTCTTCGTCGTTCGCGTCGTCGCCGTCCTCCCTCCTCCCTCGTCGTTGTCGTCGTTGCCGCCGTTGTCGTCCTCCCTCCTCCCTCGTTGTCGTCGTCTGCGTTGGCGGCGTCGTCGTCGTCGTCGGTGTCGTCGTCGTCGTCGTCGTCGTCGTCGTCGTCGTCGTCGTCGTCGTCGTTGTTGGCGTCGTCGAAGTCGTTGGAGACGTCGTCGGTGTCGTCGTAGTCGTTGTCGGCGGCGTCGTCGTCGTCGATGTCGCTGTCGTCGTCGGCGTCGGTGTCGTTGCCAAGTGCCATTTGGTACCCAGCGTCACGGTCTTAAGAGTTTTTGCAAACCAAGTTGCGGGTGGGTGGGTGGGGTGTTTGCGCGAGCAGTGGAGTGGACAACTCACTGCGAACAGAAATTAACTGCACCGCATAGATGGGACCGCATAGATTGCATTATATAGGTTGCATCCTCTTGGGCCGTCTTGGAGCACTCTTGGGCCGTCGTGGGGGCCTCTTGAGTGCCTCTTGGGCCGTCTTGGGGCAATCTGGGGGGCGTCTTGGGCCGTCTTGGAGCGTCGGGAAGGCGAGACGTTGTTGATGCTGAAGACGTACGTTTTACCAAGGGATTTTGGCGATTTTGGTCTCTTGGGGCTCCCTTGGGAGGCCTCTTGGGGTGTCTTGGGGGCTGTTTTGGCGTCTTTTGGGGGCCTCTGTGTGGGTCCTTGGTGCCTCTCGGGAGCCGTTTTGGGGCCGTCTTGGGCACCACAGATTGCACCGCATATACCGCATATATTGCATTACATAGGTTGCGTCCTCTTGGGCCGTCTTGGGGCCCTCTTGGGCCGTCGTGGGGCCCTCTTGAGTGCCTCGTGGGCCGTCTTGGGGCAATCTGGGGGGCGTCTTGGGCCGTCTTGGAGCGTCGGGAAGGCGAGAAGTTGTTGATGTACGGTTTACGAAGGGGTTTGGAGATGTTGGCCTCTTGGGGCTCCCTTGGGAGGCCTCTTGGGGTGTCTTGGGGCGAGAAGGGGGCCTCTGGGACTGTCTTGGGGCCATGGGCATCTTGTAGCCCTCTTCTTGGCCCAGCTTGGGGCCCTCTGGAAGCCATCAGGAGCCGTCTTGAGCCCTCCAGGCGCGCTCGGGACCCAGCGGCCCCCAGCGGGACGTAGGTCTAGCCGGGTATGTTTTCTATGTATATAGGTATTTAGCTTGTTGGCACAGCTGCATAAACCGGACCCGGGGCCCCCGGGGCCGCGACCCCGACCACAAATGGGTATGTTGGGGGCCCCAGGGGGGCTTCCTGGGCGCCGGGGGCCCTCTAATATCGCGCGAAGACGGCCCCGGACTGTCAGATATCGCCCTTCCGAAGAAAATCAATGTTATGAATTTGTTCTTGGTTGTGGTATACATAATACAAGATTTTGAGTTATCAAGTGATAGAGACCTGATTTAAGAATTTTATTGTGTGGTTTCAGCAGGTGGTTTAGGACTGATCTGAGTTGCAGCAGCTGCCAGTTCGCCCCAAGACGGCCCCCGAAACGGCGCCCGAGGCGTCCAAGACGGCCCCAATAAGGGCACAGGAGGGGGAACCCGAACCGACAATCCGAGTTTCCACCTCGAGAGGCTTCCTGGAGGGCCCAAGAGGCCCCCAAGAGGCCTCCAAGAGGCCTCCCAAGAGCGCCCGAAGCGGCAATAATTGCTGACTTTCCTAAAGTTTTTGAAGGTTCTTCGAGTTTTCGCCTTTTCAGGTTCCCGATGCTCCAAGACGGTCCCAGAGGCCCCCAAGACCGCTCGAAGACAGATGAAGCCTCCAAGAGAGCCCCAAGACGGCCCACGAGGGCCCCAAGACAGTCCCTGAGACGCCCGAGACGGCACGACAGGGCCCCAAGACGGCTCCAAGACAGGCCCAAGAAGGGGAACGCGAACTCAGAAGTGTCCAGAGGGTCGTAGTTCTTGAGACGCCCAAGACGGCCTGAGAGGGCCCCAAGGCGGCTCCAAGACAGGCCCAATAATGGGAACGCGTACCCAAAAGTGCCCGGAGCCTGAAGACGCCTCCAGAAACGCTCAAGACAGCCCCAGAGGGCCCCAGGAGACCTTCCAGAACGCCTCCGACAAGCCAAAACCCCTCCAAAACCAAAGGGAAATCAGTGACTTGCCCTGTCGCCTCCGATGGGCTGCTGAGACCTCACGATCGCTCCCAAGAGGTCCGTAGCCATTTTGGCTCAAGCTAGTTCTTGCTCTGGCAGTTCGGCACGGCCCTTTTCGCGTTGAGCCACCGACTGCGCTGTCCGGCCATGCCTAAGGCTGTGGATGGCGTGATGATCGACGCAACGTCTGTGGGCGATATGATCATCGGCGCAGCGAGTTCTTCAACCGAGCCCCCCGCTGTGGATGGCGTGATGCTGGACGCAGACACGCCTGATAATAGTATCGTGTCCCACCGAATGAGGCGGCGACCATGCTCTCATGGTTGCGGCTGGACGGCTTACAAGGCACATGAGACGTGCTGCAAGCAGTGCCGCGGAATGTTCGGACCTCACAGCAGTGATTGTGCCTTGAAGAACAAGAGATCCATCCGACAGAAGAAGCACATGTTGCGAGGGAATGACTAA